TGTGTGTGTGTGTGTGTGTGTGTGTGTGTGGGGCAAAGTATGCTCAGGTTCTGTTGTCGTTTAAGTTAAGCATGTCACGGTTGTATCGATTCATAGAAGACATAAACGCTGACACAGTTTTCTTCCTTCTATCTCTTTCAGGAAACCTCGTCCTGCTCAGATAGAGCCTTCGGAGAAATGAACTGCCAATGTAAGTCTTGACCTCAGCACTAACTTGCTTTTAAACTAATTAACAAGGCCAATTGAACACAAACACTCATAAACAGAGTCGTAGCCTTGAACACAGAACCTTTAACCCCCTCGTTAATCGTCAGGGGGTGGGATTCACCGCTGACATCATCTATTAGAAGCTAATTGCTGTTCCCTGCAAACCCACTGACAGGACATCAAAGCATGAGTCACAAATTCAAATTTCAAACACAAACCTTCCCTCTGCATTATGCTACCGAGTTGCCACTTTTGGTTTTTAGTTTGTCATCCCACGCACAAGGAAAGCTCGAGGCGTTATCAATAATGGATGAGGATGAGACTTTACAGCAATTTCTTCCCCAGAAGCCTCAGTGCTTGCGTTGAAAATCTTGGAAGGACCTGGCTCTCTGTAAACCTGGAAACTGGTTGTTGGAGCTTTTCCTCTCCAGGCAGTGTAGTCGGTCAGAGCCACTCACAGCCAAGATGAGAATCTGCAGCTCTCAGGGAATATGTGCGGATAAGAATGTGTTGGGAATGTTGGGAACAAGTTGACAAAAAAATGTTCTATAGTATATTCACTTTAATATGAAGTGACATTCATAGGAAACTCCTGGGACCAAACTTTCATAGGTGCTGCATCAATTATCAAACTGAAGGCAACAATCTGCACAATAGTTCCTAACAAGTGGAATTGAGAAGTGTTTAGATCTACACCAGAGATCCTCGTCAGGCTTCGTCAAATCATCATCAGAAGCAGAACAAGCAATTAAAAGCATCGACACAAACACATTCATCACTCAGGAATCTGTATGACAGAGAGTCGGTCTGCTCAAAGTAGAGTTGAAGAGTTACTGTCTCAGCGGGGCAGAGCAGAGATTAAAAAGATTTCCCTGATCCCTGTGGTGGAAATGTACACAGAGGTTCCTCAGTCCTGGGGAGAGGGTTCCTGCTTGAAATGTCTCAATCAGCATAATACAGTCAAATATATTTTATACATCACATAAATTAGTCAAAAAATCAAGAAGGTAAATCCTTAATTGTTTAGAATTGAGACACCTTTACAAAAAAAATCAAAAAAGGAATAGAATGAAGGAATGTAAGGAAGGCTGGATGCATAATGCTTTGTAGAGATGGGATGGGGGCGGTACCAATGAACCATAAAAACACATCACGTCATCATTTCCTGCAGCAGCAAAACATCTCACTGAAATGATAACGTCATAAAGTGCATATGTGTGGATCATGTTGTGTTTGTTATGAGACTGTATGGCATGAAGGGTCACAGCCAGGTTTTACTTACTTTTGCATTTCCTTGCAATACTTTTGAAATACGTTATTTTGCAACACCCTTGCGTTACTTACAATACAGGACAATGGCACAGATACAGTTGTCTGCACACTATAATTAAATTACATATTACCTATGATGAAATAAAGATTTTGTGTAATGGGAATGGGCAACATAAAGCAAAAGCATGACTTGTTAAAGCTAAAGTAATCCAAAAAGAAAATCCTGGTCTGTGATCTTTCTAGGGCTGCATAGGAGTGAATGTTGTGTTTAATGGGGTTTTACAAGCTGCACAAATACCATCAACATCATCATGAACATGTGAATCTGCCTCTTCACTTTGAGACGGCTCTTTCTGTGGCTACTTCTCCGGTCTGTCATTGAAATGGAGATGTAAACCTGTGCACTTGGTACTGAACCAGATTCGATGTAAGCACCCACGCATGACCAAACCTCACATACAATGTCAAAGCCACTGTCCTTCATCCCTACACACATGCACACACACAGACACACACACCTACACAAGATTCTATCTTCTGTAGTTTCCTCAAATATTAACAGCTGCCACACGTCCTATATCACATGAGAACACATGCACTCGGGGATACATGCATTAGCATACACATACAGTGTACTTGTTGGCATTCACACACATTGACACCTCAGCAGACCCACACAGTTACACACATTTCGCCAGTTTTCTGCAGGAACAGGGGGTCCTGCCAGCCGTGTTGCTGTGCTTAGAAGATAACAGAAAGCTCCAATCACAGGTCTCCGCTCACTCCTTCCCATTAGACCCCAGATGGGAGTCTCCATAGGATGGAGGATGAGAGGGTGTAGCTGACATCACACTCACAATAGGCCATGTGAGAGGTGTTAGGACTGGATCTGGAGGTTGCAGTTACTGTAGCACAAAAGGTGCACATGATAACAAATTAATCATACAACTCTCACTGTGGTGGATTAGTTCATGCTCTCCTCTTTCAGGAGGTGAGACATGCTCGTTTGCCAGGGGAGGATCAGATCGATAGGTAGCTTCACACAGGGAAGGCAGAATGGATTCGACCGCGTTACTGAAACACTATGATCAAAGCTGAGCTTGCTGTGTGAATGAGAATGTCGGGAGCAGAGTGGGGCTGCAAAGGACAGCAGTGATTGATGCAGTACTCTCTCTAGCTGTCTGCACACAATCACAAGCAGGATGTGGCAATTTCCCTAAAACACAGTGTAGAACTTCTTTTGTCTCTTTTCTCATCTCTCAACTTACATGCATCCTGGACGGGCTGAACACTTGCAAGTGCTCTTTCTGTGCTATTAAAAAGCTCTTACTGCTCTACACATTGAATATATCATGGGAATCACTTCTTAAGAATACCATTTACTGCTGCTTTTAATAAAGTAAAGTACATTTCAGATATGTTTGGATGCGTGCAGCAACACAGTACGTTAGTTTTTCCAGTTTACAAAATAAGGCTATCTATCCATCTATCTATCCATCTATCTATCTATCTATCTATCTATCTATCTATCTATCTATCTATCATCATATACATCCATCTATCTATCTATCCATATCCATCTATGTATCCATCAAATAAAAGGGTGATAACAGCCACCTGAACATACTGGTAGTTTTAGTAGGCCCCTACAGCCTAAATGGGACAGATGTGTTGATGCCATTCCATTGCCTGATAACAGTCAGATCGGGTGCACCTTAATTTGCTCTACACAAACAGATTTAATATGAGGCATGACCCATCCTTTTTATCCATTCCTCCTGCCTTTTGTTTTTTATGATGCCTAAAAAGCATAGATGAACAGCTGGTTTCCCCCAGAGACGAGACGTGTGGCTACGTCTGAAATCTGTGTATTTTTAGATGAGTCACTGCAGAGAAAACATTTGTTGGATGGATATGTTCTAATATGTGTGAGGATAAACACGCTCACAAGCACAAGGCCCACTCCAACCTCTAATAGAACGTAAAATAAAAAATTAATTAATGTTGATCTGTGTTACTTTTTCAAGGTCAACATCGTCTCTCACAGGTATTTTCAGCAGAGATGCAGATAACCTGCTCCAATGCAGTTTAACAAGGTAATGAGCCTCAGTGGTGATATTCAAAGCACAGTGGGAAGTAAAGCTTATGGGAGAGTGTTGATTAAGCACTGATAAAGTAATGAAAATGCCTCTTAACGTACAAATCACACAGCACACTAACACACCTTTATTTCACATTTTACAGCTGTTGGATGTTGGGTTGTAAATCCAGATACCGTTAGTTAATCCTTTGCTTAAAAATGTGAAATACATTTTCTTCTATTTTCTTTCCAACCCTTTTTAACTGCCTCCTGTAAAACTTCCCTAGTGGAACATGTCCATGGGTTCTAAAACATGATGAGGGCCATTTTACCTTTCCAAAAAACAGGAATAGGGCTTATGTTTTATATCATGACACAATGTACTTTGTTTGCTTTGGTGCTATGAAGAAAGTGGGGTTAGAAATGTTCTATTATAGAATTTGAAGATGAAGGAGTAAAGATGATTAAGACTATTTGAGCCAAAGTAAAGGCTGCAACCTTTACTGTGAAATGACCCAGGACTATATAGCAGAACAGCCATGATAAGAGCTGGCCCAGTTCTCTAGACACAATAAGGAAAGGTGCTTCAATGCCTCCTTTCTTGTCTCCAGTAGCATCAGGGACACTGGACAATCTTTTTTAAAAGATGATGCCATCTTATCAGTTCACTGTGGCAGCAACATTTCAATCAACCCATGTCAAAATCGTCTGCGACAAATGTTCACATAGTGTAAGTTCTGTCATAGTGTTCCTATAGTCCTTTAGAATTCTCCATTACATCTTACGTCCTTGACCATGTGAAGTCACGGTTGACAGCTGAAGATGGCAGCGCTCATTTCCGGGCCTGTCATCCATCGACAACCTACTTACATATCCAGCTGGCACAGAGCAACAGCTGAGTGTCTTTGACTTGCTCGATACTCAGCTTTGTTCATCAGCCACCAGTTTACTTTCACTCTCAGCTGGACAGAAAACATTCCACTCGTCTGAGCACGTTTTCTGGAAATGGATTCATGTGGCTTTGGTCCAAGCAAACACTCAGCCACAGTCTGTGTGTGGCCAGAAAATCATGTTATCACAACCTACTCAAGAAGGACCTTCGATTAACTTCCTCAGGATGTGTTGTGCTCAGACACAAAGATGATTTTTTTGTAATGCATTTTGCACACACTGTCACATGTTGTGTGATACATCCATGTGACTTTATCACATATTCTAAGGGCCGTGGCACCCGTCTTCTAAATGTCAGAGCTCCGTGTGATATAAAAGGGAGGACGGACCCTCTCCGCCCATCCTGCTGGCTTTATGACTGTTGTCAGGACAACGGCTCATCCCTGGGCAGTGTACGGGCTGACAGGTTGAAAGACGGCCATTAGGGTATTATTGTGATGTCACATGGCGATTGAGTGGCACGGATGCGGCGTTGACCCACTTGGCATCCAGAGGGGACAACTGTCCCCCTCTTGTCACGTGACCACCCTGCGCATCTCGACAGGAAGTGACTTTTCACCCTTTCCGTCCACAGCAGGGCATTGCTTCCTCATCCTCCGTGGGGATCAAGGCTGTGTGGATGTGTTAGATTTAACTATGGCTATTGTGTGTCAGGCCAAGGGCATTTTGAAGTGGGTGAG